TAGACATGAGTCATGCCTCACATCACTTCCTTTGATTACTTATCTTGCAAATGGAAGCCATACAAAATGCAAAGAAATGGCTTTATTCAGCACAGATAAATCTAGTATTTCAAGTTGGCAGTATTTCATTGTTATGATGAGGGCAGACTCCTTTTATTTTACTGACCACACCTGGTTGGAAGACACTTGGATAACAACATATTTTGCCTCTTTTTTCAACTGATATACCAGATTTTTAACTCAAGTTTTCTAATGTCTTATTAAAAATCTGACACTCATTGCCTCCACTCAGACTTATGATGAGCTAATCTTGATGGAACTGAAGTAAGTTCTTTTGTATGCCAGCATGAAAGCTAACATGACTTAAGAACACCTACACAGGGCTCAAATCCATGGCACAATCCTTGGGAACATCATGCTCGCCCTTGCATGTATTTTAAAGCTCAGTTATTTAAAGGGAGAAGAACTTGAAGGATGTTGCACCCCATCAGGGACATGCTTCACCCCTTGGTCTCTTCTTGCTTCTAAACTACATCTCTTTGAGACACTCTATCTAAACACCATCTGTACATTCATACACACACAGAAGTGCTGTTACTATACAAACATGCATGTTTAGTGTCCAACAAACCAACTGTGACTACAGAACTTGGAGGTTTGTATATCTAACACCTTTCTACCTCACAGGAAGGAGGTGTAGGAAGTTTCAAGATACTCCTGATGAGTCACCTAAAGCAGCAGTAATCCCTCCACTGCTTCAGACACCAGTTGTAGTTAACAATAAAGGCAGAATAATTTTCTGGATAGCAACTGTTGAAAATTTTATATAATTTGAAAGTAGGTAAGTTCTTGCTTGACATAAGTAGTTAGAGTTGTGGGGCTATAAATTAAACTTTATCTGAATCACATGGCTGTGTTGCATAAGTCAAAGATGGATTACAGAGAAATTCAGAGCTAATAATCTGATAATTAAGAACAGTAAAGAGAGATTGTAGTGAAATGTGAACAACCAGGACATTAGTAGTAGTTAGCATAGACAAAGCTAGCAGCTTAAATATTACTTAAAAATTAATGGCTAGAGTGGACAGCCCATTGATTGTGGTATATGAACTGTAACACTATATTCCAATGTGGAATACAGAACTGACCAAAACCCCCACCAAACTGACTGCAGGGCATGTGAAGATGACCATGTAGCAACCACCTGGTAACAAACCAGAGAACTAATACAGAGGAAGAAGACCCTAATATTACCATTGGTGTGAAGTGTTGCATGAGGAATGGGGAGTTTAGATAGTGAGGGTTTACTTGCCAAGGGCTTTCTTTGTTCAGGGTCCCTCTTTTGAGGCATCTAAGCTTGAGCTACCAGATATCATTAACTGCCTTGTGCCAATAACCCAACTAATGGAGATGAGTCTAGTGAAAAAACTTCTTTAATAGTAACAACAGAACTTGGTAGAGTATATAAAAACTAGAGAGTTAAAATTAAACTCTAAAACTCTAATCTCTAAAATTAGAGTCCAGATACTTTGGATTTTTAAATGTAGATACTTTGGATTTTTAAATGTTTTTGTAAAACATAACTGCTTGACCTATTTACATAATGTAAAACATAAATGCAGCAACTCTGATATTTCAGATGGGTTCTATTTTTTTTTTTTCCAAAAATGCATCATAATTTTTTCATGGGTAGATGATTGCTAACACCTACTACAGCAGCACTCATAGGACAGCCTCAGCTCTAAAAGAAACAGCAAATATCCTGGATAATAAGAGACCATGGAAATGAAAAGAATCTGCCATAGGTCTTCCCCAGTGGGGGGTAGCTAAACAAGAAGTTATTTCTGTCTTCTGCTGACTGTGGGCTTATGGCCAGGGACTGAACAAGACTCGCCTGTCCCTGAACACTGGTCTGCCAGGGGAAGCAACAAAGAGCAATTGTGGAGTTTCATGATGAGATAATAAAATCATGCTCTGGTAATACTTGTACTAGGGAAACATTTCTACAAGGACAGTAATGTTTATAGGCAACAGAGAAGTCCTTGTGAGTTTTGTGAGCTTATGTCCAAGAGGGCTCCTTGGGCAGATATCTTCTCCAGGTAATACTTTTTGACCTTTAAGTTGTCAAAACCTATGGCCCACAACAACCTGCCATCCCCTTTACTACAGAGTCCTCCCTGGAAGAAGGTTTAGTCTGCTTTACAATGAAAAGATGACATTCAAGGGTGTTGCAGAGAATCTCAATAAATTTGAATTAAAATAAAAGAACTCACCCAACTCCAAGATTAATTAAGCTCACAAACACCACGGAATCATGCATAAACAGTATTCATGGATTTTTGAGAGACATAATATTTTAAAAAAATTACACTATTTCACTTAAGTAAAAATCAATCAAACTTTTCAAATCATAGAATGAAAACCATTGTTGCTATTCCCAAATTGTCCCCAAAGAATCTTCCTTATAGCAGAGCAGCTATCTAGATTTCCAGGTGGATTGACTCTATTTGTGTTAATATTAAGGACATCAGATGCACAGATAAGCTTGATACAAGACTGCAAACACAGAAAATAATTAAGAGACTTTAAATTGTGAAGGATGTGCAGCCAAAAACATTGTTTGATTGGAGGAAAGTTCCAGACCAATTTCAGAGAGCAAAAAGCAGATGAAAATATGCAGATTTGGAGTTGTAATTTTGCATCAGGTGCAGCTCTTAACTGGAAGTTCAGTTTCTCAGAAAAAAGTACACTTTAGGGTTAGTTGGAAGATTTTTCTGAAAGCATTTTTTTCAGTAACATTTGATACTTTTGTTCAAACTATCATGTTCAGGAAGATATGAATTTTGATGAAAGCTCCATTTTAAAACAAGACATTCTGATAGAGCTGAAAAGTTCAATTTTAACATCCACATAATGGAAGCTTTTTACTGAAGAATTGTTAGCTTTCAATGAGAAGTCCATTTAAAAATTATAGTTAAAAAACAGTTTTAAAACCTGAAGTCATTTAGCCAAATAAAATACCTCATTTGACACAGATGATTAATTTTATATTTCTCCTAGGAGAAGCTATTAAATAAAAATTTAGCTTCTGAAATTTCAAAGCAGATAAAATTCAGTTGTATTATTCAACAGATTGACAGAACTCATTTTTACCCAGCTTTCTAGCACCAGTATTGATCACAAAAGAGAAGCTGCCTCTGTGCATTGCAGAACCTCCCAAAGCCACCATAAACCACAGCAACAGGTGCTGTAGCAGCAGCACAGTGCCCCTTTCATCCTCCACAAATGAAGTTCTTACTGGCTCATCTGCTGACAAAGGGGCAGCCCCTACAGCTGGTTTCCGTATATCCTCTGCGAGTTTGTAAGACTGGCTCTGGAGGTTTAAAAAACACAATGTATGAGACACTCGTGAGCCTGTGGTTACAAAACATGAAATTAGGAGAAACAGCAAACTGCAGCTGAAAAGCCCTGGCAAGAACCTCTATTTTATTTTCTGCTCTTCCAGAAGCAGTTTTCTGACACAGATTTTTCCAAGATTACCTGTAACTTTCTAGGGACAGCAGAGAGATGCAATTCCCAGTTGAGTCTGGGCTGAATGATGGGATTCTCTTCCAACATGGGATCACCCCTGTTCCCACTGTAGCCTGCAGCACAACTGTGGTGTACTGAACCCACATCCAAACTACCTAGTCCAGCATGGAGCTCATACACCTGCTAAAGCTGAGCTGCAGGGCTGTGATCACTCCTGCCATGGATTCACCCCCTCTGGACAGTTTAACCGTGGAATGGAGAATGTTTGCCCTGCACTGCATTCCATGTGCTGTCCACTGAAAGGTCTCCAGGGTCAGGACCCTCAGGAGATGCCTGCTGACAGCCCTACAACGTGCTGTGTCCTGTGCAGCAGGAGCCTTCTTGGCCTTGTCTCCTGCAGACAGGTGGAATTGCTGGACACAGGCAGTGTTGCTGATCTGCTCACTCCTCTCCCCTTATGGGATCATTGTCCCATTCACAGGGAGACAAAAAGCTCCTTGGATCTGTAGTTTTTTGCAAATGGTATAGGGTGTTTTGCTCACTCTGCCCAAGAAAATGTCCTGGGGAGCTGGTCCAAAAGCATCAGAACCTTGGCACGTCTCCAGGCCTTGCTGAATTTGGATTTAAAAAATAGTTACATGGGAATATAAACCTTACAGAAACTCACTTTAGTCTGTATCAGCAAGCAGACTGTCTTCTATTGATACATACTGCAAAACTGCATGTATTCTGCATTTAAGGAGAAAATGCACTGCTGAATAAATACTGCTTTTATCCACTAGTTTCAAAATTAGAGCTAAGACCCCCATCTTCCTCAGCACAAGCTGCTTAACTTGCAGAGGAACTAATTATTCAGAGCTGTCACACAAAAGTTTTTGACAGTCAGGTAATTTTGATGTTAAATGTCTTAATGCAGACAAATGTTACCAAAAATTGTCTCAGTCAAACCTCATACTGCAGTAATTTGATGCAGTAAATCCCAACACCTGGATTTTAATGAGAGCCTTCTGTAAATACTACATTTTGAGATTACTCCTGTTCCTGTTGTTCTGTGATAAACTGCCAAATTTTGAAAGTATTGGCCTTTGAGACAAGAAGTTTTTCATATTTCTTTAGGGAATTATTTTAATATTGAGAATGTTCCAACACAAATTTGCTAAACTAACTAAAATTAGTTTCTCCATTACATCCTCTGCATAATTTATTTTTCTCAAAATGACAATGCTGCCCTGTTTAAACCATTTGGAGCTTTAAAGGACTCAGGACTTGTGTGTTACAGTTATAATTTCATTATTCATGTACTGTAATGAAGCAACGTTACCAGTTGCATAGAAGTTTCCCCCACAAAGTAGATTTTGAGTATAAATCTTCACTTGCAGCTGTATTAATGCCATATAGAGTGAAAATTGACAAAAATAAAACCAGGATATTATTGTATTCTTGACAATCCAAATTAAATAAATACTTACATGTGAACTGCCCATTTTTGCTTAGCCTGAATGTGGAAGGTACAACTCTTCTGCTCTTCAATAAAACAAGCATGCAGTTGGAATAGCTAAATACTATCTAAACCTAGGTTAATCAATAACTTCTGACATTATTTAAATTCTAGGCATTGCAAGGTAGGGTGTATTCATGTATTCATGATGGCTTTATTATCCCTACTATCTAATATCACATCCTGTTGTGTCATGGAGATGACTGGTTTCTCTAAGGAAAATCAGGATTTCACAATGTAAGCTTCACTATGATATATACCGATTTATCTAATTGTTATTACAATGATTTAAAACATAAAAGTATTTTAGCATCCAACACGAGCTTTCCAAACAGAGAGAAAGATGCCTCCTTTGAAGGTTTTATATCAGATCTTATGGAATTTAATGGTATTTAATATGCCACTGAGGACCTTCAGCTCCTGCAAAACATTTTGAACAAAATCTCACTGCTATAATTTGGTTTATGTGATCAGATTTTGGTAGTCAGGGGATTTCAGGGGTGTCTTTGGTGGGAGGAGACCAGGGGTTGCCCTATGCTGGACACAGCCAGGGCCAGCTGACTCTAAAATTAACTCTTCCCAGACCAAAGTTGAGCCCCACCAATGATGCTGGTGGTGCCTTTGTGATAATATATTTAACAAACAGCAAAAATTACATTATTTTTTGCATTCAAAAATAATGAAATATTATCCCAGGCAGGAAACACCACACTGCAGTGTGGAACTGGACTGATAACACTGCTACTCTGTAGATCATTGCTGGTGACCCCTGAGCGAGTCTTTGTTCTAAAGGTAACCACAGAACTGTTTACAGCTGATGGGTCTTAACTGAGGCTAAATGGAAGAGGAAATGAAAATCTTCAGTCTACTGAAGCAAGTGAAATAGTGCACATTGAAGTGGTAACAGTTAAAAACTAAGTGAAGCTGAGATTTTTGTATAGGATTTATGGTAGCAGTGTGCCCTCATGGATGAGCAGTGGGTGCTTTGTCTGTCACAAGAAGATGCAGAAGTTTCCCTGGAGAAGGTACCTGGATTTCTGTGTGACAGAGAAACACAGATTGTGGATTACATCAGAGCCAGAAGGGATACTTTCACCAGCCTTGAGCACAGCATTGGTATGAGCTGTGAAATGGCTTTTACAGTGGTACTGGTGCCTGGTACTCCTGTTCAACTCTGCAGATCTCTGGGGAACCTGTGTGAGACTGAGAATTTTCAGAAAGAATTCTAAACAGTATTTAGAGATTTATTCAGACAAGTCAAAATGGGCACAGGGTTGACCAGAGACTGATCACACACTATCAGGGACCAAAGGATTCTCAAATATTTACCAAGACATTCAGTAAAAGGGAAAAACTGCCAGGAGAACGGATGCCCTCATATGTTAAGGGCTTGAAAACTGCAGTGGAAGTCCCAAATAAAAAAATTCACCCAAAAATAGAAACAAATTTGGCTAAAACCAGACATTTACAATGAAATTGTCTCCAGTGTCCTTGAAGGAAGTCACTGGATATAGCACTTCCAAGGAAATATTCCCTGGTAACTATTTAATCTTAAAATCTGATCAACAGTTGCCAATTTGAGTAAGCAGCTCAGGGGTACCGTATAAATCACTCATGAGAGAGGGACAAAAGTAATCTTGGAGAGCAAATGTTCTTCACATGTTGCTGAAGGTTCACACGTTGACCACGAGCTGGTCAGGCCAGCCAGGACCAGAAGGAATGTGCGTAGGAGATCACAGCACCGCTGCTCAGTTCAGAGAGAGCTGCACTGATGCTGCTCAGCTCCCTCTTTCAGAGCACTGCATTTTACTGGCAGGTCCCCACCAGCCCATCAAGTTTGCTGAGCACAATGGAAATCAACTTCCGTCTCAGGAAATATAGGAAGTGACTAGAATATGCCAAAATGCTACTTCTGTTTTTAAACAAGGAGGAACTGGCTGCAAATCCAGAAAGTGAAGGTAGTTTGTTTGAAAGTGTAATGGAGTTATCTTGTTGCAAGAAAAAAGAACAGAAGACTTGCAATAAGGGAAAAAAGCAGACTTTAGAAAAGTCAGTGAACAAAAAAGTAATGTCTTTTGAGATGGTAATCTCAAGAATGAAGGCTGCTAGAAAAACTGGAATCAAATGTATTAAAACTCAAGAAGCGAATTTTTTCTATAGGAAGAAAATATAAGAGGTATACTATAAAAATGTTTATAAATAAGATTATTTCTGCCAGAAATTAATGCTTTTAAGTAAGCAGTCATGCACCAACCTGACTAGGTTAAAAAAAAAACAAACCAAAAAGAGAATAGTCAGTGACACAGATCTATTGAGATCAAACCAGGGTTGATTTCATATGACCACTAATTCATGTCAAAGAAAGTCATAAACAACTGGAGAAGGCTACACATAGTGCTCATGTTCCAGGATGAATCTGCTCATTGCTGCAACTGCCAGAAGGGCTATCTGGAGAAACTGTAAATTGCACAACATCCTACACATAATGCAACATAACGTAAGGTAACGTAACGTAACATAACGTAACATAACGTAACGTAACAAACATAACATATATAACAAACATAACATAACATAGCAAACATAATGTTATGTGCAGTAGATATAATTTGCGCCATTTCTAATATGATATATGTGATATTGAATATTTGTTAGAGCATACACGTTTGTATTAGGATTCCCCCCACCCTCGCAGGCGAGACCGGGTGTATACTGGAAACTGATTTACAAGTAAGAAGGTACGGCTCGCCAGGAGATGGGCCATGTCTGGAGAGATACGGTAACCCCAGGTGCTGATCATTCACATGATATCATGGATATCATGGAAATCCTCAGACAGATACATGTGAATGCAGCGTTCCCGTAAAATTTCATCACGGGATTCAACAACTCCAGACACTGAATTGTTCTCCCTCATCATCAAAAAAAGAAAATCTTATTAACATATGAACTCCGAATAGAAGAAAAGACTGATTGCTGAAATCTTGGCCTCAGGCAGAATTTTCCCTATAAAAACTGCTTGTGCCAGGATGGAGGTGTGTGGGCATAGAGTAAAACCTCTGCTGAGGCTGACCTCTTTGTTGCACACCCAGGGCCAACCCCGGGCTCAGCTCTGTTCTTTCCTTGTGGCTGGCTAAATAGAATTTGATTGCAAAATAAATATTTTGTTTTTTCATATTAATTTGGCTGGACAAATTTTCATTTATAACACATAACATAACATAACATAACATAACATAGCATCTATCTATCTATCTATCTATCTATCTATCTATCTGTCTGTCTGTCTAATCTCTCTATCTCCATCCTGAGCAGAGCTGGGAGGGAGTGCATATGATTGCAATGATAGCCTAAGGTTTGAAAAAAACAATCAGCAGTGTGATCCTCAATGCTCACTTTATTTTACATACATGATTTAAACCAATGTGATTATAACTTCGAAGACCTCAACTGAAGTTGTAGGAGTTCAGACTTTTATCTATGACCTTCATTTAGAATGCAAATTTGAATCAATGGTCAGCAAATTCTCAAACACATTAATAAACACAGAACAATTTTGCTGTATGGTATCCTTTTTGGCACTAAATTAAAATACTGTTAAAAGTCAAGTACTTTCACTGTTCACTTCTAATCACAGGTCTGCTCAGTTACACTGCCTTTTGGAAGATCTACTCTGTGTCAATAGTTTCTTTGTAGTTGTCTTGCTTTTTCTTCTCTTTTGCTAGTCCCTTAACTGAAAAGTCTGAGGCAGATGATAGCAATATTATTATATAATAATATTAATATAATAGGAATACTTCCTAAATTACTGTTATTCTGAGCATCTGAATTTTTAGCTTGTGGATTCTCACATCTGTGTCTTATTGAAAATATTATTCGGGTGCTGGTGCCCCTAACAAGAAAATTTACCTGAGAACCATCCAAGAAAAAAATTGCCCTGCCCTACTTAGAGGTGTATCTTAACTGCTGGTATCAAAAGCAAACAGACAGTACCAGCCAACAACTCACACCATCTGGTTTATGTGGCAATGGGCAAGGTAAACCACGTTTTTTATTAATGTCTTTTCACAGCTTATTCATAAACCATTGTGGGTTGTGACAGAGAAAGGCTCTTAAGAAACTCAACAACTGGCATTAAAAAGAATTGAGGGATGAGGTCAGATCTGCAGGCTGTGACTGCTCCTGGACTGAATCCCATCGGTGACATGAGCAGGGAGGCCTTATTGTAGATTCTGGAAGTTGTGTGAGCTGCTCCTCACTGCAGGGAACCCTGTGCTGGCACCGTGGGGCACATGCAAGGGCTGAGGCTTTGTGTCTCTGCAGTTTCATGTCAGTGGGATCCTGAAGATGCCAGTGATGCTGAAGAAGGAGAACCGGGTCTGTAGTTCTCTAAGGAGGACTGGGTCTGTAGTTCTCTAGGATTTACTCAAATATAACAGAGCACTCAGTTTCTTTCTGCTGCTCCTGGTCCCCTTTCAGCTGTCACCACTGCTCCAAGGTTATTACTGAGAATGCAGCAACCAGCCTTGAAATATAAATGGCACAAGGGACCAGGACTTCATATGCCTTTTTTTCTTTCTCCTTATACATAAAATTATTCACTTAGATGGTGCAAAGTATTAGAAATAGAGAGCCCGTCCCACATCAGTAATTCTCCAACAGCAAGAAAATGCTTGGCACTGATTTTGACACAGGTAAAGTTTTAAATGATGCAGAAGCACCTAGATCCTAAGATCAGGAGGGGCACCTGCTGCTGTTCTATTTGAAGCAGTGTCTTTGGTGACACTTCACCCGCTCGGGACCCCGCACAGGATGGGATGCTCCTGGTACTCAGGGCTGCAGGTTCTGTCCTCGCACAGGGGGACACACGCAGCTGTGGGTGCCCAGGGCGATGGCTCAATGCAGTGATCCATTCCGTTCCATTCCGTTCCATTCCATTCCATTCCATTCCATTCCATTCCATTCCATTCCATTCCATTCCATTCCGGGACAGGCTGCCCAGGCAGGTGGTGGAGTCACCGT